CATGTACAGTGTGTTTAAGATTACAAAACACTATCAGTTCCTCACTTTGAATTATCAATGACATCAGGTAGATCAAAGTTAGTTCCTTTCATCTTAAAATCATAATGACAGAGTACAGCATACAGGAATGACCCCAGCCCACCACCAATGTCACATAAATGAGAACAAGATCCCAAATATGGATAATCGGCAATTATTGCGGGGGCGTTGAGTCGAGAGGTGTCGGCCATTTCAGCATCATGAAGGTCTTGGAGAAGAGGGTCAGTTTTTAAATGTTCTAATAATTCTTTCCTGTAGACTTCCTTAAAGCCAGAATTACCACTGTAGAGACTCCGAGAGAGGACAGTACTGATTATCAATGACTCTTCACCTAAATGAAGAATAACAATGGATCACAGTTTGATACAATAAATACAGTAAAAAATGCTAATTTTATCTTTAGAAATTACAAGCATATTGATTAAATTCCATGCAAGGTTTAAACTGAGGCCTAAACAAGCTTGTGAAATTTTTAAAATAACAGAACATATTCACCGTATAGCACTTTATTTTGGCAATTTTGCAGTAAAATTGTAATTGGTGGTTTTTAATTTGGCGATTTTTGTGTACATGTGCATTACTGAGCATCCACATTAATGATTGGTAGTTTTAATATTGGCAATTCTGCTTGCAAGCTGCAATATGCCAAAATAAAACTTCGTCAAATTAAAGCGCCATACGGTACTTGTTTATTGATTCATGCTATACAATGTTAAGGGTCCTTGCAGCACAATAGAGCTTATTAATAATTAATATTTCATGACTATACAAGCAAACATGGCTCATATTTCATTCAATAAAATCATTTTTCATCATGCATGTACATGTAATAAGATCCCTTAGCATACATTGTACAGCTACTTGCATAATGTACATGTACCATGATTGTATGCCCATGCCAAAAGTACATGTAGATTTGATGGCCAATACAAATGTACATGTACATATGCATGGTACACGTACATGTACATGTACCATATACAGGCATCCACATGTGCATTATACTTATGCATATTTAAATTGTATATATACATGTATATTGTTACCACGTGTTTGTTATATTTTCTAGTTGTAACAACATGTATAACATTATGCATGTAATCTAGCCATTGCTTTCTACATGCATCTCTGTCTCTTTCTTATCATTTCAAATATAATTTATTTTCAAAATTTTGGCATTTTCTTAAAATGGCCCTAATTAAAAATTTGAAGTCATAATAATGGCCTTAGAGAGAGAGAGGAAAAGGGAGAGAGAAGAGTCTAACTAACCTCCATCATTATCTTCTATTATCCTCTTACTCCCAGCTGGCATATTAAGCTGCAGTGGATCCAAATACTCTGCCCGGAGGTCCAGCCATTATCAACTGACGAGGCTCAGGCATTGGAGGAAGGTCGGACATGGACATCGGTTTTGAAGTGGCTGGGGCTCACTCCGGCTCAGTCTCATGTGGGCGTGGCTGTGTCTCATGAAGGAGGGGCTGTGTCTCATGAGGGCGGGGCTGTACCTCGGGCAGAGTGAGAGGTATCGGAGAGGAGGGTGAGAGAGAAGGTAAGGAAAAAAGGTAATGATTGTGTTAATTGATACGAGTCTCCTCCTCCTACATAAGCTCCTCCTGTCCCTCCTAGGGATAGGAACTGTGCATTACTATGTGAATAAGATTGTACAGCTGGTTCTGAATAGTTACAACCTTGTCTAGCACCTGTGTGTGTGTTCCGTACTGTTGCAGCATATTGTAATGAGCTTCTCTGATACATACTAGGGGATCCATTGGCTGCCAAGGTAGCTGACCTGTTGCCATGGTGATGTCCCAGTAGGGGCGACAGAGGTCCTCCATGGTTTAAAATGGTTTTGTTTCTTTGATGGTGTCCTTGATCTGTGAGCTGTGTAGCATTGTGGTACTGTTTGGTTTAATGGTCTCCATCCAGTCACGTCTCTCCTCCTAATAAGGACATATAAATCATGTGACATTGAGCCATCATAGTCATGAGATTTAGCTACAGTTTGCATGTACATGTATTGTTCATGTACATATGTATAGTTGGTAATTCTGAAAGGAGAATTGCAAAATTTTATTTTGTTTATTAAAAAGAGTCAATGCTAACTAAATGGCACTTAAAATAGTGTTATCTCAAATTCAGAAGATATACATGCATCTACTTGCATGTATATTTTTATGCTACATGCATAACATATTAAGGTGGATTTACAATAATATGCAAGTCCTGACATTATACATTGATGCTGGACTAGAATCTGATTCTATTCCAGCCATTTCCAGGAAAAGCATGCGTCAAGAGGTCAAATCGCCCACACTTTCGATTAAAAATTGATGGTACGCTGGCCTAATGTCATATTGTAAATCTGCCTTTATGCACATGCACACACTAAAATTAGAACAGTATAAGAGGTGTGCTAGTTACTATCAGTTATTCTCTGATTATAAAAATTAATCTGTCAGCTTTTTAAAAAACAAAAAGTGGATTACATTGTGTGTCAATGACACTCTTTTTATAAAAGACCTGAGAGTGACCAACAGCTAACAACATGTACATGTACATTTGTCACTCTACACATCACAGTCATCAGTTCTATAGCAACATGTTGATAATAACTGCTACTAACCTCACTATCAGCACTGATGATCCAAGGTGAGCTCTTGCCAGAGTGACAGACTTCGAATACAAAGTTGCCATTTTTAGGAGCTTTTGGAGGGACCTCAACTGCTCAACAGCAGATACTGCAGTGAGGAATATTTGATCTTTTGGTTCACTGGCCTAACAGGATGAGTCATGTTTATGAAACAATACATTGACACTTGATCCTTTTCTCTTTCTCACTGCCAGACATTTGCTAAACAGCAGAATGACACAGGCCATCTCTCTCTCTCTCTTTATCAGATAAAGGTTGGTTTATACATGTATATGGTGGTAGGCTTAAAGGCTTGATGTACATGTACAGTGTACCAGTAACTTAGTGTTAAAAATTACATTACATTGACTTTAAGTCATACTTGTAAACATACCGTATAGCAGAATCACCAATATTAAAACCACCAATCATTAATGCGCATGCTCAGTAATGCACGTGTACACAAAAATCGCAAAATTAAAAACCGCTGATTACAATTTTACAGCAAAATTGCCAAAATAAAGCGCTGCAAAAATAAAGTGTTATATACGGTATATACCTCACTTCCCCCCTCTCTCTCTCTCCCTCTGTCTCACTCCCACTCCCAATAAAAAACAGTTATGAAGTGTTGGACTACAAATGCTCAAAAAATGTCTGCAAAGTATGGAAAACGACAACCACAACTGAACCTGTTATTACAAATATATACATTCTCAAATAAAAACAACAATTATAAAGTCCTTAAATACATAAATAATACCAACACCACATACATGTACAATGTATGCTGTCTGCTACAAAGCACTCTTAAGGATTAATATGCGTACCTTACTCTCCCCGAAATAATGTAAGTAAGTAGATCCAGTCACTTTAAAGAAGTAGGTCTTCCATTTCTTGCCCTTGTACATCTGAAGTCATGCAGTGCTGTTCCTTATTGAAGACATGACGGTCAATCCTTGATATATGAAGAGTATGAAGGAAGTGTTGGAGGGATTGTGGTAAGGACGCAGCCTCTAGCTAGTGGCTGAGGGTCCGGGGAGATACTGATAGTCAAGCAAAACCAAGAAGACTTCTTTATGAAAAGCAATGCAGTTATTAAACATAATTAATTATGAATAAAATCGAATTTTTATTTTATTTTTATTGAAGTAGGCCATGCCCCTCTTCAAAATGTCGTCTGATTGAGCTATTGTCACGGCTACCTGAGCGTCTACCACTACCAGAGACAGTACAATGAGGAAATTAGCTAGTCTCGAGTAACAGGAGCCTGGAGTTAAAGAGACATAATCATAACCAGGTGCAGGAGGCTAGGTAACTAGTTAATACATTTGAAATGTAGCATGAGGTTGAACACATGATGAGGTGTATCATACATTTACATGCATCGGTGCATTTACAATGAGACATGGCATTAATTAAGGAAGGTGGGCATGTAGACACTAATGAAGGGTGGACATTATCATTATCAATTTTTATTAATTGTGCATGTACATTCAAAAATGTGTATTTTCATCTTGATTTTTACGGCCAGCTATACTATTTCCAAATCAGAGATATGTACGTTTACAGTATGTCACTTCATATTAAACATTAACGTGATGTTCCAGTTAGACGTGAAAGGCAAGAGAGAAGACTGTCAATAATTATGTTGAACCCACCTCCAATTGTTTGTTAGTAGGTAAATTCATTTCTCCATGAGACTTTCATCAGCTGTTATTGGGTACCATAGTCCATAGATTCCATTTCTTCAAACATGGCAAGGTTTGAATTTTTGTGTATTGCATTTCCTG